CTACCACTTGAGCTACAGCGCCACTTCTGGTTTTCTGGTGGTTTATTGGAGATAGGAGTCTCATGGTCTCTCCTGCCAGGGCTGGCTTTGAACCTCGATCCTCAGATCTCAACCTACTGAGTAGCTAGGATTACGGGCGTGAGCCACCAGCGCCCAGCCAAATTCTTTATTATAATATGCAAATGCCTACTTACACAGAGCTCCCTGGAATGAGATACTCACAACAGTGGCTGTCTCATAGGGAGACACTGGTTAGCCAGGAATTAGGAATAGGAGATGGCTTACTTCTCATCCTATTACCTTTGGTAATTTTTGAATTTTTATTCTAAACATTGAGTTCAAGGCCAGCAGCAGCCTTGTATAGCCCAGTAAGACCTTGTCCCAAAAACCTACGGGCTGGAAATATATCTCGGTAGTAGAGCGCTTTTTTCATCATGTGCACCTGGGCTTAATCTCAACTGGTAAAAATAAATGACAATAAAAAATATTTTCTGCTCAGTGCTGGTAGCATCTGTAATTCTAGTTACTCAGGAGGTTGAGATCTGAGGATTACAATTCAAAACCAGCCCAGGCAGTTAAGTCTGTGAGATTTTTTTTCTTTTTCTTTTTTTTTCCAGTTATGGGGCTTGAACTCTGGGCCTGGGCACTGTCCATCAGCTCTTCAGCTCAATGCTAGTACTTTACCATTTGAGCCACAGCACCACTTCCAGTTCTCTGGTAGTTTATTGTAGATTAGAGTCTCACAGACATTCCTATCTGTTTTTTATGTCTACTGCATTTGTTCACCCTCCCCACTTTAAACAAGCAAACAAGATAAAAAGGGAAAATAAATAAAAACAACAAAGAAAAATAAACTCATTTCCATTTCTTGGAGTTCAATTTGATAAATATTATTTTATATGATCAGTGCATACTATCCTTTTTTTTGGGGGGGAGGGGTCCAGTCGTGGGGCCTGAACTCTGGGCCTGGGCACTGTCCCTCAGCTCTTCAGCTCAAGGCTAGTGCTCTACCATTTAAGCCATAGCGCCACTTCCGGCTTTTTTTTCTTTTTTCTTATATGGTGCTGAAGAATCGAACCCAGGGCCTTAGGCATGCAAAGAAAGTCCTCTACCACTGAGCCACCTTCCCAGCCCCCTATCCTTTTTTTTTTTTTTTTGTCAGTTGTGGGGCTTGAACTCCGGGCCTGGGCCCTGTCCCTCAGCTCTTCAGCTCAAGGTGAGCACTCTACCACTTAAGCTACAGCACCATGTCTGGTTTTCTGAATGGTTTATTGGAGATAGGAGTCTCATGGACTTTCCTGCCCAGGCTGGCTTTGAACCGCAATCCTCAGATCTCAAGCCTCCTGAGTAGCTAGGATTACAG